TGATCTCCTAATTCTGAAGTCTTTGTTCCGAGGTCTCGTCCCTTGAGATCGAAAATTTGCATTTTTCTTTTTTCTACAAGGAGATCCTGAAGGAGGAAGGCGATGCAGGTGAAGAGCGCTTCTCCGGCTGGAGATTGTGCCTTTTCTGCCGGCGGGTATCTGCCCGACGATTGCTTCTTTCGGCTTCCGGAACGGAGAGACTGTGGGTTCACAGCCCATCTTCTTTCTCCGGGCTCGGTGATTCGCCCTTCCTACGGTTCATCACCGTTTTCGGTTTCGTTGTCGATGATTCGAAGCTTTCTTTTCCGCGGTGCCTTTGACAGCCTTGTTTGCAAGATTTTTCAGTGCCTTAGGAGAATAATCGTGCTTTTTCTAACTAATTGGCATTCTCCAGTTTGAACTATTGCCATGTTCTTGTAATCTGGTCATATTTTGGAACGTATCCTCTCGAGATTTCTTGTTCTCATGATCGAATACTGGATATTTCTGGGAACCGTTGTGTTCGAATTGCTTCGCTTCTCTCTCCTTAGTCTCCGGCATCTTATTTAGGCGTATTTTTGTGGTGAGGAATCGCAACGTTGATCGCCAATTCTTTTCGATCTACAGCTATTCCTTCCCGATTCTTTCTTTCTACTGTTCTCCTACCGTGCCGAAGTTTCTTTCCCTGGAATTAGCGGAAGGCTTCGCCTTTAAGTCAGGCCGATTTGTTAGATCTAGGCTTCATCAGTCCCCTGATGAGATTTCTTCCCTCTTATCGGTTACGATAGAGTTCTAAGAAGAGGATTGTTTCTCATGGTGATATGTTTCGCAGTTTTCCTTCTGATCTGCTCTTTAATGTTGCGGCTACAGTTTTGAAGAAGACGAAGATCTTCTTTCTTTTTGCTTCACCATTCTTCTGGATTTGGTACAAATGCTTTCCTTTCCCTTTGGATTACTCTGAAAACAAAGAGTTACGAAAACAAATTTCTAGTTCTTCGTTCGTTTGATTCTGAGATAAAGTTGCATTATAGAATGGTTTCGATGTTTACCTTCGGCAAGGACAATTTTTGTTGCCAAAACTTTGAGTTTTTGTCTACAGTTCGGATTCGTTGTGGTCATATGATATGTTCCATTGAGATTTTAAGATATGAAGCAATCGCTGACCTCAATTTCGGCATATATGTTTCACAGATACCAGAGAGTAAGCCCAGATATCCTTCCTCTCAGCCATGGAAGGAAACCCATCCTCAATAGAGCATGGAAAGATGAGACTGCGGACCATAGCAGCCGAAACGCAACTCATTTCCCCTGCGAAGGTAAACCCGTAAGAGCGAGATCGGTGTTGGGAACTGCTGATCCATCCCCAACTCGAGAACACCAACTGCCTCGCATCTCATTCCCCTCGGATTCCCCTTCCGCACTGGCCGCCTCCGACATCCAACCTCTACTCTCTGCCCCAGTCTCCTTCACCGCCTTCCCGGCGCCGTCGAAGTCTCAGAGCCGCCACCATGAGATCATCAGCGGGGTGGACGGCGGTGGCGACGTCATCCTGCAGTGGGGTCACAACAAGAGAACCCGAGCGCCGAGGGCGGAGTGCCGGGCGTCGGGCGACGCCGCCTCCGCCCACTCGCGGCAGATCCTCAAGATCCCGCGCAGATCGACGGCGGGGATGGCTCCTCCGCCTTCTGGCGGTTCGTACGCCAGGGGAGCCAATCTGAGGACGTCTGTAGTGGTCCGTGACGCTGCTGCCCCTCTCGTCAGCAGGCACGCCCCTATCTCTCCCATCTCCACTCCCATTCTCTCCTTGTTATTTTTCCCTCATTTTTTTATTTTCACGGTGGTTTTCCTATTTTCCTGCCTTTGTTGTGTCTTTTTTTTTTGGTTTTTGTACTCAGAAAAAAATTTCCCTGGATTTTTAATTTCAGCTTGTTATTTATTCTCTTACATATGTCAGGATAATGGAAACCGGAATTTTCGTCTTCTCGCCCGGTCTTTTGGTCTTCTGTCTTTGACAGTTTTAATGGTTTAGTCGATCTCTGTTTCCTCGTAATAAAAGGGTTAAACATATTTGTATAGGCCGGTTAAGGGGTAGAGAGAGGAAGTGGTGGGGTGTGTGCGACGATGACGACGGAGCTGATGTAAGGTTGTGATAGTGTTTTCGAGATTAGTTGGTTTCTTTTTTGCATGTGATGGTCTTGTAGATCTCTTTTGGTATGTTATGATTATATGGGTGACAATTTTTTCTTTTATTTCATCTCCACATATAAAAAATATTTACTTGACAAGAAATCTGATATTGATCCATGAGATTAGACTAAAACAGAATAGTGTATATTAATGAACAATCTATTGTGGACTTTGTAAAAGATCAGATTAGTGAGAAAATAGTTGAGATGGTTTTAATATATTTATCTGTAAATATTATTCACTTAAAGATTGATGACAGATGAAAAAGAGATTTGATCACTTTTATGTAATCAGTCATATTATTGTTGATGTTAATGTTGAGATGGAATTGTTGCCTGTGTGGCACTTCAACTGGAAACCTTATCGAGGATGACTGGATCTGCGGGTCTCATCAGATATGCAAGACACTAAATCATCATGTTAATAACCCCTGTAATCACCCCAGCTTGTTATGCTTTCATTTTGTTTTATTCTACTACTGTTTCTTTTCTTTAATCAGCAACACTTCTCCGTTTTTGGTTTGTTTTTCTTTTATGTTTTTGGATAATTTGTTGTTTTCTTTCAGCTCCTGCGATGTGTCTGCCTCATAAGAACTACGGCTTTCGCCTTGGTTTGAGGCGCTAAACAGCATCCAGCAAACCGCTGCGTGGCTATAAATACAACCTTCCGCAATTATCTTTTTCTTTCCTTCGTATTAGTTTGCGACCCCCTCCACCCACCCACCTTTTCTTGTTGTTGTTTGTTGTTACCTTCTGACCCAACTCTTCCTCTTTTCTGGCCATGATCAGGGGCGTGGAAGAGCGATCAGGCGGCCCAACTCGATCCGAGAAGCGATCGCCCTCGTCCCTGCCGGAAAAGGCCCAGAAGAACCCCACCAACGGCGCAGCGGACGGCCACATGAACCTCCCGGAGTCGAAGCTGGCATCGGACCAGGATACGGGCGGCAGCGGCAGCGCCCCTCCGCTGGTCGCGATCGGGGAGAGGCTGAACCTGGATCAGTTCGAGTGGCCCAAGATTTGCTTATCCCTTTCCCGCAAGGAGAAGGAGGACGACTTCTTGGCCATGAAGGGCACCAAGCTTCCCCAGAGACCCAAAAAGAGGGCTAAGAACATCGATAAGAATCTCCAGGTTCACAATCACTAACCCCTCGATCCATCGTAATCCTTTTCATCACTTGTTGTTTTACAAAATAATATATGCATTTTTTTTGTGTGTAGTATTGTTTTCCTGGAATGTGGCTTTCGGATCTGACGAGAGGACGGTATGAAGTGAGGGAGAAGAAGTGCGTAAAGAAGGTATAACGCAAATCCCCGGATCGTGCTTTCGCTCTCTTTTCCCCCATCAAATCTCCCCTGACAAATAAATTACTCGTTTATATTTATTTACTTTCACTGCTAATATTGACCTGTCGCCAGCTCCGTCATATGCTTTTCTTCCCCTGGAACCTTTTCCTCGATGCCCCTCCTTCGTCATGTCTCCATTCGACATGATGGTTGTCGAATTCATTATGACCGAGAAGGTCGATCATACAATGTGCATGTACGAATTGAATTCCATGCCTTGGCCCTCGGGGGTGGGGGCTTAAATTAATTTGGTCGCCTTCTCCCTTTCACGTGGGCCCCTGATGTTGACTATGGTCCCAATTTCTCGTTCCCTCGTCCTTAATTCTTTATCTGCCCCTTTTTCCGATTGGGGCCGTGCGTTTTACTCTCTGCGATACATGTTAATTCGTTGTACCCGCTGCTTTCTGCAGAAGCGCAGGGGATTGAAGGGGATGGAGAGCATGGACAGCGATTCCGAGTGATCACAATGGAAATAAGTTCCAGATCGCATTAATCTCTTAAAGATCCCCCTTCGGCGTGGTGTTCTTTCCAGTTTCTTTTTTCCTTCTTTTCTTTTCCCTTAGTGTTCCTGACCTTGCCATCCTCCTATCTCTTGTACAGATCTCCAATTTCCATTAACGGGGAAGTTTTTTCAATCGAAGACTGCACGGTTCTAATGTTACATGATTTTTTCTGTTTCTCAAGCCTCGTATTTCTGCTCTTTTTTATTTCTTCTTTTCTTTTTCATGCAACAGTAACAATAAACATGAATTTTCTATTATCGATTCTTTTCAGTTGAATCATAAGTAATTAAAAATAATTTAATATATTGGAGGAGACGGGGTCCATCCTCACATGGCCCACCGCCAGGAGAAATAGAACGCGCGGTCCTGTATCGCACTTACTTCCCTTTGCGACAAATACCTATACCACGTAAAACAGGTACACAGCACCAACAGTCCAATATCGTACGCTTCGACGAGTCGTATGCGTTAAACAAACACAAGTCATGTAGTACATAGAACTTGTTATTGTTTAACGCACTTTTCTAAATAGCCCAAGTTGGGATTTTGATATTCGTAGGTGAGGTTGACATGTGGGAAGGACGAGAGATTTTTTTTGGACGGATCTTCGCGGAATACGAATATTTCGCCAAACTTTGTTCTACTAGTATGATGTGGGTTTCTTCAATCCTTTCCCACCACGCTCCAGCCAAAAGCCGTGCACGTCACTTGCATCGCCACCAGGCGCATAAAACCGTGGGTGGGTGCGCTGCTTTGCTCGCGCTCGTCGGGCTCCCTCGTGCACGTTATTTTATTTTCCTTTTTTCGATTACCCACTTTTGTACAGTAGGAATGGTTGGAGTGACCACCATTGGTGGGGCGCTGCGGAAACCACCATTGGCGTTGCAGCCAACGCAATCGCTCATAACAAAAACAATATGCACATACTCGGTGCGGCTCTTTGCTGACCCGTGTGATCATCTTCACCTTTGATCATGCTGTCAATCCCACATCTAACCGTTGATAAGAGTTTGCTTGTCAGGATCGACGGCTGGAAACTTCCGTGAGTACCATCCGGCCCGTGCTCGCTGACCAGGAAAGTCCTCTCAATAGTGGGCGCAACTGCAGGGCGGTGGGGCCATTGTCTACCTTCAACGTGGGGAGGACAACCGAGACGACGACGGGTAGATTCCGCGAGCTCCGACATCACGCACGGCGACTCCGGCCAGCGAAACCAAAACCCCAACCCTCGCGAGGTCTGACCCTTTCTTCCGTAATCGTTGCAACCTTTTTCCATGAATATTTTTGTTCGCGTACTGCCGTCGAGATGATGTTGATGATGACCATGATTTGGATCGATCCCCTATTTTTGTCTCGTTCCTATTGCGCCTTCGTGAATCTGGGCTGATGCGTTCCCGGTTCTAAATTTAGATCGCATACCTGATTCATCGATGTGTTCCTCTTGCTTCTGTTTCTTGCCGATCTCTTTCTCAGCGATTTAAGTGCCGGGTCGCGCTTTCTATCTTTTATTTTTTTCTTTCTATTTTTCTTCTGCACTCTTGCAGTCATAAATTTCTTGGTGGTTAAGTTTTTGAAGAGAAGGCTTTCCTATGTGAGCTTCATGTTTTGGACGAAGCAATTGGGAGAACACAAAACTCTAGTGTTTCTTGGAAAAATGGAATTTGAAAATTTTAGGTGCAAAAAATAGTCCCTTATCTGAAACCTATACCGGGAAGTTATTCGAAATATAGTAAAGAACGGATCTCAATCGTGGGGATGGAAAACAAAAAAGAAAAGAAGAAAATTGTGCATAAAAAGAGGCAAGAAGAAGATAGGAACTATTGCTCAAACAGCTTATTCATTCAAAAAATATTATTACATGTTTTTAAGTATTATAGTTGTAGCATATTGTAGAATATAGCGCAATTTTTTTTCTTGCACTCAAGGACATATCGGTGTAGTTTTGTCCTCGGAATTCAATTTTATGTATCCTTACTAATTTAGTAATTTGGTAGCGTACCTTGAACGAAATGGATGAAACAAGTGCCAATGCGTTGATGATCAGATATAATTGTGGACTCAATTGAACTAACAGAACACCAAAATCATGGTTTAATATCATAAATATTCCTTAATTAAGGAGATTTCTATTGGAAACCTTTTTTAACTACTTATAGAAAATTTTAAGAACTTTTAATATTCCTAAGATACCCTCTGCAATGATTATAAATGTCCTCAATTTATCGCTTAATTCCAACAAAATCTTCCAACTCCTTCCATGCACCCCCTTTTTCTTCCCATTATTATTATTAATCTTATTCTTCTTATCCTCCTCTTGATTCCATATGCATCTTTCGTAGATGCAATATGACAGAGAAAACATAGATTTTCAAATGTGATGATCTGAATATCAAAGAGGATGAGGTGACAAATAGTTTTTACATTTGTTAGATCAATTTAATGTTCTTAGGGGTTAAGACGTTGGGTTATAGACCCGAAAGATGATATTTCAAATGTTTCTGCAATATCCCAGAAGATGTCATCTTTTGGGTCAATCTGCATCAACTCAGAACTCAGAAGATGCCATAAAAGGGTATGATTGGTAATTGAGGGATTGCATTTAGTAAAATTATATTTTATTATTTTTTAGGTGGTTGTATGAAGACGTTTGCCAATAACAAAAAAGGATTGTCAATAGCAATCTCCTAAATTAATAGATTTGAGAAAAAAATTCAATTCAAGGACAATTACCGGTTAGAATGTACATATCTCATCTAGATTGTATCTCCACCATCAAACCTCTAGGTGAACCTTTCGAGTTTGTTAATGAAGATTTTCTTTATCTGCACCCAGTGGTCATTCCCAAAACAAAGTCTAACCTTTTGTCCTTGAGTATCTGGGCAAGTGAATGTCGGTTGATTGTCAACACATTTAAAAGTAAGAAAGCCTTAGAGTTGGTGCAGTTTGGCTGTGTAGTCACTGGGACTTTTCCACTCCTTCCCAAATTAAAAATTGATGTTTAATTTGTGCAGTTTGGTGGTTAATTAGAGTTTTGTTTTATTTGGATGGATTTGTTTCCTTGTTTAATATGATTAAGGAAAGTTAATTAAAAATTGAAAATTGCTTCATTAATTCTATGAGCTAATTAGGAATCTATTTAATTAATTAATTCAAAAGATATCTTTCTTTACTTGAGGGAAACACTCCTTCCTCTCCTATATAATGAAAACCCCTCATTTATTTATCAACGGGATCAAGTGGAACTCGATAGTGCGGGATCAAAGGGAGGAACTTCCATCTTGAAGAAGTCGGTCCTCTATCTTTTTTGGTTTATTTTTGTTAATATTTCTGAAAAAAGATTTTGGATGTGTGACAACACTAATTTCATTAGTTTAATAGTTTTGAATTGTGATTAATGATTTTTGAATAACGATTTAATTTTATGTTTTATGATTAAAATGCATGAAGATTTTTGATGAGTTTAAATATTGAATCATACTTATTATTTTTTTAATGAATTTTGCAAAATTGTGCCATTATTCATGATTCCTTAAATTGATTTAATTATTGTGATATGTTGATTTATTTGATTAAATTAGTTTGCTTATTGCTGTTAATTTCATTAGATTTCATGTTTGAATGAACTTATCTTATTTCATTTGTCAATTAGTTGTTTATTTAATTTATGCTTGAAAAAAATAAATTTGAAATTAAAATTTGAATGAGGGTGAAGATTGGGTCTAACATTGGGCTAGGCTAACTCGACCCAAGCCAAGCCGATCAACACTAGGTCAAACCAATTTGAGTTAAACTCAGGCTTGGTCATAGAGTAGCATTGAGCCAATGCCCAGTTGCTTGACGGCCAAAGCAGATGCCACCCAACAAATTGAGCCCTGTAGACCAACATAGGAGCCAGCTTGGGATCAGCTTGACTCAAGGCTAGCGTGTCGTGGACCCAAGTCAACATGGCATGGGTCAACCTAAGAGGCTATGCGTGGCCCATCTACATTGGCTCGGCATGGGCCGATCAACCTAGCACCTAAGGCCCACATGTGGCTTGACACTGAAGCCCAGCTTGTCGCTTTCCTATGTTGTGCGAACACGTGATGCACGCAACCTTGGTCCAAGCGCTTGCAGCCTAGCTCGAGCACGACCCAAAAATGTGTGTCGGACTCGAATCTATGCCCACCCCCTTTTTAGCCCAAATTGGGCTAGGCTAGCAGCCCACAGGGGCCTCAAGCCTGTGCCCTATGGGCAAGTCGGCCAGGGGCCCCTTTGTGGCCAGTTTGAGTGTTGTGATCAATTGACCCTTCTTAGGTGAACTTGATGTTGTTTCAATTGGGTTTTCAGTTGAAAATCTATTCAGCTCAAGTCAATTGAACCATTTCAGTTAGGGTTTAGGTCAATTTAGGGTTGCAGAGGGATTAAAACTTCATGATTTTGTTATTTAATGAATTTAAAAGTCTTATTTTAAGTTATATTATGAAATTTGAGAATAATTATTTGTTTCTAATTTTAAATGATATTTGGCATCGAGGTTAACATTATGATCATTGTTATCATGAGGCAAATGTGACTATACTGAGTATTTTTGTTGATAATGCCCCTACGAAAGAAACTACGGCCTATCACAGTACAGAACTACTAATGCACTAAGTCTCCCATGTCATATGTCAAGTGTAGTTATTATGATATTTTATAGGGTTTTTTTTAATGCATGAATGAAATAAACGAAGATATACGATTGTGATATATGATGATGAGGGCTATTATTCTCTACCAAGAGGCAAGTTAGTATTGGTAGGATGATTTTTTTTTTACAGTTAGATGGTTCCTTCATTCATTATTGAGAGTAATGTGTCCCTACTCGAGTAGGTGAGAGATATCACTTTATCCAATGTTGACAGTTCGATATAAGATCTCTTCATCTATTGTTGAAAGAATATCTAACTCATCGATTGTTTTTATGATTTTCAAAGGTGCCTATTTAGCATGATTGTTGATATATTTTTGTTTTGTATTTTTTTCAAAGCAGCCTCCTGACATATATTAGATTGAGAGACTTAGGTGGAGGAAACTTCTTTGTCATCAAATAGTACTATCAAGAAGTTTTAGTATTTTTCAAGTTGATATGGTTTATTGTAAATACAAAGAATATTGGATTTAATGAAAAATTTACCAATGTAGGTATGAGTTTTGAAGTGGTGGTTTATGCACGATATAATTTTGTTGGTACAAAGTTCAAATATTTCAGGGTGTGACAGGCTGTGTACCTAAGACATTAGTTTACACTCGCAATGCAAGAATTTGACATTTATGACAAATTTACTCCCACTGCAAAAGATGGTGTGAACTTTCAATCAGATGAGATGATAAAAATCCCATTAGTCTACCATCAATAGTTGATTAAAGAATCCAGACTATGATATTGGTTTTGAATGTTCTATTATTTTTGTGGGCATTCATCTTTTAATAATTCCTATCCTTGATGTCTCTTTGTTACTTCACCATTAGACTGTGATATTACTATGGCAACATAGTTGGTCCCTAGGCTTTTGACCAGATCTTTAGTATTCAATCTTTTTCGTGTAACCACCTCTTTTGTTTGATATATTCCTGTTGGTTAAATTGATGGGAATTTGGTACAGTATGCTTAGTCTTTTCATGTTTGTGTATCTCCTCAACTTCTTGAGTTTCATGATGTGAACTTTAACATTTGATCATCATTACTTTGACCTAATATGTGGTGCTTCTCTCTCTAGCTTCTATGGAGCTTTCTCTTCAGACAAACTGATCATACTGATAGCAATCCCCTGATATATAATTTCTATTGAAGGTTACAGGGAAGGGATACATCCTAAAATCATTTACATTGAACTTCTATGTCATGATTGTTACTGAGGCAAGTATCTGAAAACGAGTCACATGTTATTGCCAGAGGCTTGGAGCTATAAGCAAATAAAAAATTTGTGGGCTCACTAAGACTTATGTATAGGCAGGATTTTGTAAAAGTGAATCTGCTTAATGGATGATGTTTATGGAAAGCTAGAGGTTCTCCCAGAACACTTCCGACCCACCGAAGCATCTGAACACTCTCCCCAAACAACAAATTCAAGGGCAGATTATAAGCTGAGGTGAGATATTAGTATTACATCTGTAATATGACATGGATTTAGCTTCTCAAATATTGGCTTTAAATGATATCATAAATTCTTCATACGTCTCTGGTACAGATCACTTGGCCATTCGTGGGCTGTAAGAAGAGTAATGGGAGCTGCATCTCTGCTGAACTTGTTTACGCTTTCACGTCTTCCATGGGGATCAAGAGATCACAATGATAAAGTTAATAAATCATTTTTATATTAAGATATAACTTCCATTGACCCAATAAGAAATATAGCATTTATATATAACTGAGAAAATATTTTTTTGGGTATCAGATTGAACTTACTAGAGTAGAAGTAGAGTCTCTTCGGTCAGAAATTGCAGATGCAGAGGAAAGAGAGACGTATCTAAAAGCTCAGTAAGATCCAATACACACTTATTGTGAACTTTGATTTTGCAACAATTCTACAAAATTTTGCTTTATGAATTCTGGATGCTGATTTACTTGTTCGACTTGCTCTAGTATTTTTGACAGTTCTAGTTATAAACTGATATTCTGAGAATGCACTGGACACCTTTTGAGCAAGATTTAGGGGATGTTATGTATGGACAGACTTGAGCTACTTTATTGCAACTGCTTGTTGTTCCTGATTACAATTGAAAATTGGACATTATCTTTCCATATATATAATTTTAGGACCTTTAGGTTGTCATACTGACAGAATTCCTAATATCATTTTTTATATAGATATGCATGTGTAACATGTCAGATTAGGTGTCCCATGATAGGTTCATCCTCCATTGTCTGGCTATATGCAGTTTAAATTACAACCTACATTCTAGTAAACCATATCCCTCGTCAGATTTACAAACTTAAATACCATACTACTTCAAGCTACAACCTACATTCTAGTAAAATTGCTCTATTTAAGTTTGCACTTGATGCTGTTAACTTCTCTTTGCCTTCTACATAGAATGATTTGTAATTTGAGCACTTTCAGTCACAAGTTCTTCATAGTTCATACTTCTTCCACCTTGTGACAATTATCATCTACTCTCTCCCCAGACCTCTTCCTTTTTGTTTCTGTCCAATGAGATCTAAGTAGATATCACTTGACATTTCTGTTAGGATTGGAAAATATGCAGTTAGCTTATCTTGCCCTGATTATTGTTTTGCAGTTTGTGGTTCCTCCTCATGTCCATTCTCGCTCTTCATGCCTCTTCCTTTCTGGTTTATTCCAATGGTGTCCAAGTAAATTTCACTTGAAATTTTCCTGCGAGATTGTAGAATATGCCGTCAGCTTATCTTGCCCTCATTATGGCTTTGCAGTTTGTGGTTCCTCATGTCCTGTATCATGTGTCCTTTATACGAGTTTATGATACTAACCTGGACAACCTCTCTCTCTCTCTCTCTCTCTCTCTCTCTCTTAAATTAATAGTCCAACAACGTTATAACATAAAAGAAGATAAACATGCACCAGATCTGCATGAGCATATTCAATTTTGTTATAGTACAGGGGCAACTGGTGAATCACTAGCTACTTACAGGTACCTTTTCTTCTCTCATTTGGCATATAACATCACACTTCAGCCATGACCTGTTAGCAACCAAGTACATAGAGTTCAGCTTATTTTCAATTCCTTGATCTTTATTTTTCCTCTTTGTGGAAGGTTGGAACATCTTGATGGAATTTTGAGGTCTGCATGGCTTTGTGGTTATCTCTATGTCCGAACTGTATGTCCATGTACTCTCAGTTCCAATGTCATCTGCATTTTTTTGTCTGTCCTCTCTCTATCCAACCATGGATTGGTGAAGTAATTACTTAATTTCTTCTATTTGCATAGAGGTGGACGCAACTTCCTGGAGAACCTCCTATAATAGATGATGATGACATAGATGATTGGCTTCCCCGCTTTGTTGTCCTTCATGGCTCATGTATCTATTATTATCTCAAGTCTACTGGTAATGTTCTTTTTCACTTGAAAATGGTAATATTTCCCTCCAATATTGTGGTCTATTTAAAATTTTTCTGTCCAAAGATTTGAGCTTTTATTGAAGCGAAAATCCATGCAAGACATATGACACAATTAAATGACGTCATTTTTTACTGATTTTAGCTGTTTAGAGAACAACTAACTAATAAAAGTAAGAATAACTGAAAAGAGAGTTCATTTAACATGTTCTATATGAAAATCATGATACAGAGAGCAATACATGCCTTCAATATTACTTTAAGGAAGCATAGTAAAAATAATACGATTACATTAATGGAGTTATAAGTTAAGTTTCTTATGTTGGCAGCACAACTGTGCAAGCACATAACTTGTTTTTTTGTTTCTTAAGAAAATTTTGTTTTTTATTTTACTTGTGGATTTACAATATTATGATGCTCGCTCAATTGGTGAGTGCATAATTTTTAGCAAAGAGGGTGAACCTTGGCATCACAGTGAAGTTGTTCTTTTTCAGGTGACAACAGCAATCACCATACTTCAAGGGGTAAAACTGACCAGAAATGATAGAATCAACTTCATTATTTGTAAGAGTAACATTGCATATATTGATCTTTCCCATACACTGAATTGGTGGGGGCCTTTTGCAATAGGTTTGCCATATTTTTATGGTTTTAGCAGGTTGAGTGAATTAAGGACATGCATGAGGAATTATTCATGAGCATACCTATTTTTAAATATTTATTATCCTTTACATGTATAAAGCTTAACAGAAAACTTTATTCTTCTAGAAAGATATTTGGTTCCTTCTAAAACATGCAGCAAATAAAATATAATGGTCAATAATGTAACCTTTTCTAAAGAATGCAAAGAAATTCATTCATGTGCCAAAAAGCCTTTTTTCTTTTTTCAGATTTGAGTCCTCAAGACAGCACACTGTTATCTGATGTTGTTGAAGTTGGACCACTTCCAAGCTTCAAACATGATGATGAAGAAATAAGACATGCATTTTACCTTTTAACCTGTCAAGGTTTGCGGTTTGAATGCTCAAGTATTTCTGAGTTACAGGTACGTCTGTCTAAATGTTCTCTTTTCTGATTTTAGATAGTTCTTTCTTGGAACCCCTCTGTAAGATAGCATGTTAGCGCCATAATTTCCTAAAGAAGATGCATTCTCAGTAAATGTATTGTGCTTTAAGTATTTGTCTACTGGGTTGTACGTGTTTACGTTGTTCAGGAAGCTCTAGAGATTTTCAACTTCCATCAATGCAATGTTCAGATTTCTCATTCTTTCTCCTTAATCACTTTCATGTCATTGGAGCTAGAGTTCATTTGTTTAACAAGTCTGTCAAGGAGAAGTCTTCATCAAGAAATAGTTAACTTTCTATTTCAGAGATAGCAGGGGAGTTCTATCTGTTTACTGTTCGTTTACCCAGTGTCAAAATGTTGCCCTGTTTGACCTATATCGTTCCCCATGTTTGATTCTCGTTCATAAATAGAAATCGACAATTATCTGACCTATTTCCTCCCCCCGTGTCAAAATTCTGGTTGTTCTGTATCGATTTTTATAGTTTTGGAATGAACAATTATCTAGCAGCAGAGCTATTAATTTTGTGTATTTACTATACAAAATCTTTTACAGTGTGTTATTATGAAAACATATCGGTTTTTGCAATTCTTGATAATAAAGTTTATTATCTTGATTCAGGTGGAATCATGGCTGACAACATTACGAAGTGATTGCAAACTCAAGTCTGGGTCAACTCTCCAGGATTCAATCAAATCATAGGAGCCAATAGGTACCTGAGTCTTGTAAAAAGTATAAACTCATCCTGAGTTGTTAAATATATATTTTTTACATTATTGCATTTACCTACTGCATATTGTTATTTCCTGAGTGATTAAAGTGGACGCCTGTGTAACTTGCAATTGTACGTTCTTATTCCCAGAAGTACAACAAATGATTTGCATATAATAATAATAAGATGGCTTCTGGGTCAAACTTTTGCTCTGAGTTCTGTTTGTGTCATGACTTTAAATTCTATGGGTGGGATTTCAAACAATAGATTACGAGAATCTCAGAAAAGATCTTATAGAATCTTTTAATCTCGCATCATGTGAACAATATTTACACATTTATTGGAAAAATCATTTGATGTAACTGTATAAAACTGTGTGCATACATACATACATACATAATGACTGCTTCATTGATTGTGATCCCTCATCCTTTGCTTGTTCACGCCTTCATCAATAGATAGATTGAAGTCATCTCGATTTCTCTTTTCGATGACCAAATAGCCCCAATAACCTTTCTTGAATTACTCCAAAGGAAGAACTATGACAAAAAGGATTCCTTCGACGACCTCCTCAACCGATGAGGACCGATCTCGCTAAAAGATATTGGTCCTTGGTTTCACGAGGAACATTGATAGAAGTAAATGACAAATTGAAGAGAAATACCTATCCAAGCCGACAGAGACCTTCATCTTGACCCTAAGGTCTAATCAGATAATTGAGAGACCATGGAGAAAAGACATTACCTCAATGATGATCCTCTGATAACCTTCAAGATGAAGACGCTAAGCATTTCGATTCCAAGCATGAGGACTCAATCCAGTGCCTCGGTGCCTTGGTCAAACAAGCAATGATCAACACGAGTAGTTAGGCAAATATTCCATAGCTTTTGGGCAGACGTCGTCTGAGTTTCTAACGTCATCATTGAGAGACCAACTGTAAATGCTCTGTGCGGTGGTCTCAACAACACGTCACGAAATTTTCAAGAAGCCAAGGAACCGACGAACTGGACGATTGGATCCAACAAGCGCTAATTAAGCTCTTGTAATTGGATCCCTTTAGTATTTTAATTTTTAGATTAAAAAAATTTATATTGATATATAATTATAAATAATATATTTAATCTTATTTATACTAACATTATGGATCTTATCGATGGAAGATACAACACGTATAGAATTATCGATTTTGCTACTGAAAAAAAATGATTATTTCAGGTATTACCAACGATGCCTTCACGTCGTCGGGGAGGTCCGCTAGCGATCGCCATGCCTTGTCGCCCTCCAACAACTCTATCTATTCCCCTATCGGGACATGCACATCCTCCCATTCCTATCCCCATCGACCATGCACGTGCGCTAGTACCCTGCCTCCGCCACCTGCCTCTCCTCCACGTCGCCCCAATTCTAAGCAATCATGTCAAAGGCCTATGTGCTCTACAAGAACTACGCTTATGCTGTCATGTGGAAGCCTCTAAGGATGCGGAACGTGTTAGGCATGAACTCGCATCACTCATCGCGCTCCTATGCCATGTTGAGTAGGTGGACTCACATGTCGACGCCACATCGCAGGCTAGCATGTACCTCAATGCGTTCTTTCTCTCATCATGCTTGCTATCGACGAATACCATACGTCACTCCTTTGACCTGGCGCATGCAACAGAGAAGCACCATATGTTGAGCATGGTGGCCCCACAGACTCGATACACCACATCATAGACATGGACATCGATGAAAGCCTAGGAGTGGCAATCCAATCTGTCGACCACCACCGCCTCCCTCCCAACGGTGGCCAGCTGACAAGATAGTGGGAGGTCATGGGAGTGACTAGGGACAGTGGTAGTAAGGTCCAGGCACTGATGGTTAGCTCGAAGAATGAGAGATAGATTTTGTTTTTTGGGTTTTTTGTTTGGGGGGGAGGGGGGGGGTGTGGAGGGCGGGGATGAGTAGGGGGGTGGGATGAGTGATGGGCTTCCACTAGACGAGGAGATGGGCTTTCACTAGACGAGGAAGTGGCAGTTTGTCGGTCTTGCCCGATCCATTATCACCCTTGTCTAGTTCCAACCGAATTAGACTGCCACTAGAGGTTCATCCTCGACCACTCCCATAGCTTCTGACTCTTCTGTCGGACTGCCACTCCTGGGCCTTCACCGATGATGTCAACATTTATGATGTGGTATCCCAAGTATGGTATTATGGTGTTACAGACTTAGTCAGTTTTGCCTAAATCATGTGACACTCTTGTATCTCCATCTACAAACGGAAAGCCTCCTTGAAACGTCCCTTAAGAACCTACAAAAGAAAAAATAAATTAAATAAAGCTATTAACTTGGGATCTAACAAATAACTATTTTAGTAAATACTTGATAGACAATACAAATTACAAACATAAACTTTGCAAGCTCTGAATAATCGCATAACAAAGGGTCTAAGGTGGTATGTCATGGTAAAAAATCCTCACAAGTGCCAATATGATACTATGGTGGAATAAGATAGTGAACTAGCCCTAAACACTACCCGAAAGGCTCATCCAATAATGTGTCATCTTGGTAGCTCTTAGGTATTGTGTTAGCTAACATTTTGTACCACTCTATGGAGCTAGAAACCCCCAAAATTAATGCCTAGATGATCTACTTTTGGGTAATTGTCTTTACGTAACGACTACACATAACCTATATTTACAAACCTGACAACCACAAAAGTGAACTAAAATGAGATTATTAAGTCTACTGTAAACCCTCTACATGCTATAAAAAAACATGAATAAAACTGAAAGATATAAGCATATACAAGCATTACATTGAATATTATGTTTATAGTTTTATCTATGACGTTCTTCCCCACTTATTACTTCGACATCCTTATCGAAACCTTTGTGAATGCTGCATCTTCTTGCTTTTGCTGAATCTTCGATCTTTTACTCTATTTGCAATGTGCCTTGGCTTCTAGCTACTATTAACCACTACTATTGATTAATCAAACTTTGATCAGCTATGCTGCTTCGACTTGCTAATGACTTTAACTCTGATATAGGGTTGGTCGAGTTTTGTTGATCTTTGTTGGTTCCTACGAATCCTTCAGATGAAGGAAAAGACCTTACTTATTATGTGTCAGTCTCTCAAGTGTCTCACATCGTTTGAACTAGTTTGGATGCCTGTTAGAATTTTAACGAGCATTGAACTTTTGGAATGCTCATCGATTCCTCTTCTACTTAATTGTCACCTCTAAATAGGTTCACCTCACTTTCACTTTTGATTGTCATTCTATTGGAAAATGAAGCAAATAGTCTACTCTTAATAGAACCAATCACCATAGGTGATGATTTGACAAATGTTACATTTCACTAAGTTTTTTCGAAAAGTTTTTTAATATGTAAGACTCCTCTATTAGATAAATAAGAGAACTAGGATACTCGGTCTCGCTTATTCTCTTAAGAGTTAGGAAGGCAAATGTAACTCAACTTCATCTGCAACCTCCTCAAGGGGTGTACTTCATACATCGAGCTGGTTATTAGCTTTCGTTTTCTCTTTGCTCTTACTTTCAAAGCATCCAAAGTGTTTATACTTCTTGCGTTGACTTAACTACTACAATTTACCTCCTTATTATCATCGAACTTTTAGAATGTAAGAAGTTACAAAAAAGAGTACAATTTTACCCCGACTTGGAGTAAGTCTCAAATAGTTTTGGATATCTCTAGTGTTTGTACTATCTTTTCCATCACTTCTATTGCCTATTCCTCTAAGTAAAAAAGGTAGTGTTTGTACAAAAAAGATAGTGTTTGTACTATCTTTTCCATCACTTCTATTGCCTATCCATCACTGCATACTACCTACTTTGATCCTCGGTCGAGCACTTTTGCATCGACTCGAAGTCCTCCATTTTTCATAATTTTGATTAAAAGTCTGTTGACACCAGTCTTACGAAGTTCTCTGCCCTTCAACCTTGTCTCGGTACTGAGAGTTTGCCTTTGCATTCTATACCATGGTACTATCATGCCTATGACTCTACTATTTGTCACTTCACATCTACATCTCTTTCTTCACGATTGGTAGATCTACCTCTATATTATTATGACACTCCTTTGAGTCCATCTCCATTCTACTTGATGCTTGATTTTAGGTAGCGAAGTCTCTTTGGACTCATCGTTACTTCTTCGTCCCTTTTGACCACCTACTTCAACATCGATGTGTTCTCCGAGTAGTTTCCCTTGGTCGATGGAAATATGGACTATAACTCCCACATATGGCCTTCGCCATCATGTTGTAGGGCTCGTACCGATTCTATTCTTCTTTGTATCCTTGGTAGTAATGTTCGTACACTCGGTCTTGTCTTCTGACTTATCGAACTTCCTTAAGTAAATATAAGCTCTAGAGTAGTCCAATTCTCTAGCCAATTTGATCATACCTCTGTATGATTAAATGTCCCATATAGGACTCACTAGTACTTATACTCAGAATTCTCTCTTAGCAGTACATAGCTCTCATATGCTAATGAGTAAGGCCTTAATCTGATGGAAAATTTGATGCACGCATGAAAGACTTGCCTCTATGGTACTATAACATTCACTCATTGAATCTATAGCTCTTCTTTCTTTTATGTTGTTCATGGAAGTGGAGCTCTTAATAACTTTCGATCATACCTTTGTATGATCAAGTCCCTTATGGGACTTATCTTATGTATGTTGCATTGCCTCGAACTGTTCCACAATAATCTGTTGTACCATGTCACCTCCTAGGGACATCTTTATTACATTATAATCTTTGTGGGATGAACTTAGGCTGCAATCTCTCCATGTGTGGCTTTTACCAATATATCACAGGGCTTTTGCCATCTCCAATTGTGTTTGCTCCTTTAGTAATCAATATTCATCCATCTGCTCTTAGGTCACACTTGAATGAAGCATAGCTCTAAGACAATTTATAGTCTACTAGCTCTCGAAGTCTACTGACTTCATTAAAATTAGTATGCTATTGTTTTGATCTTGAGCTCCTACCCTTAACACAATATCCGTTGTGCATTACTTCATTTGTGGCAACTCGAATGGTAGCGCTATGATATATTCTTGAAGAGTACTTACCTTCATATCCTCTTACCTCATGCCAAGGCCTTTTGACCCCATTTTCATATCTACAAGTTGAGTCGTCTTAGTTCTTCTATCAAATACTTTCCCGAGATAAGGTGTGTGTGCCTCGAAGTTCCTTTGGACTTTGGTATCATGCAAAATGAGTATGCTCTATCAGAATAAGGGACCCATTGAATGACATGATCTCGCTCTTACCTTTGCAAGAGTTCATATCCTTTGACCTTTGTCTAATGAAAGCTTCGTACCTTCGTTCCATGTTTTGTCTTCTATATCAACTCCCTTCATACAGCTTGAGCACTTCACTAAGTTCTACCAAGTTGCTCCGCTTCTTGGTTGTATTGAGTTGATGATGATGTTCACGCCTATCATGCTATGAGTTTGATATCTACATCGATTCTAAGTGTATCTTTGTTTATTATTAGCTTAGGTCTCTGTCTTGATCTTACAATGTATCCACAAATGTATTATCTCGTGTGAGATCATGTAACGACTCCTTGTTGCTTACTTAGTCCATTGAGTTATGTAGATTTGTTATCTTGAGGTATCACTTTTCAACATGTTACACATAATTCTCCCTCTACATAACTAGGACTTATCTCTCTTGGATATATATATATATATATATATATATATATATATATATATATATATATATATATATATAT